CATTGGTGAGCAAGTGATGTAATGCTAAATTTCTCCAAACCTGTTTCGATGAAAAAGCAAACTCATCTACATCTTAGATGGCCTGAGGGCAAGTATATTTTCAGCAAATTTTCATTTTTAATTAACCAATGTGTATGTTTGTGTCTCAGCTACGTGGAGCGTGTTTCAGAGTTACTGCGGCAGAAACTCAAGCAGGCTGATATCTTGGTGTTAAAGCGTGGCACGCTGGCTGAAAAACGACAGGAGGCTCTGGAAGAACAGGCCAAGCTGGAGCCCCGCATTGATCTGCTGGCTGCTCGCACCAAGGAGCTCCAGAAACTGGTACAGTAAACCTGTTATAATGATGTGTTTGTGGATTTGTTTCAGTACAGGTTTATCATAATACATTTGTCCTATTACAGCAGTATATGGTATAGTCCTGATACGTTCTCACTCATTTACTTTCCTCTCTGCAAAAGTGAAACTGGCACCTTAGCAAACCTTCAAATTCCTGTTCACACTCTTCCCCTCTTTGCAAAAGGAGCCAATGCTTGGCAGTGTTAAATATAAAAAGAAATGAGGTTAATCGAGCAAAAAAGCTAAACTAATGTTGTTAAATGTCATGGTGGACATAACTTTTATTGAAAACTAAATCCTGGACTGGCTGAGAATATGAAAAAAGCTTCCTCTTTATCTATTTGTCTCTCTCTCTCTCACAAACAGATTGAAGCTGACATCTCCAAAAGATACAACAACCGGCCCGTCAACCTCATGGGAGTTCATGTGTGACCAAGAAGAGTATTTTCATGCTGCACAGATGTATCATTTCATAAATATATTTTTCCCATTTAAATTGGGAAGTTAATTGTTTTGTGGTGATTCCTTTTTATGGTGGAATAAAATTGTTGCAATCACAGCGCTTTCAATATTCAAAGAAGGCTGTAAATAACTTGCGCTTACACAGCTGGCCTCACTAGTCTGAAGTGCTGAATTCAGTAAATGAACCGTCTTAAGCGGCCAACATTTAAATATACCATTGCTAACCCTAATTTCTGTGAAGAAAAACATGGCATTTTACATGGAAAGACTATCAAAACTCTAAAAGAAACGGTCAGAAAAATTTACATTTTTGCAAACAGCATGTACAATAAAGTAATAACCTATTTAAAAAAAAAAAAA